GCATGTATGGAAAAGAATCCCAGAATTTTCTCTCCTGTGTGTTTTCCTCTTGCTTCTTCATGGTCCATGATGTATGCTGAGGTTCTCATTATACAATGAAACCAAACTTAGATGGCAGTTTGTTTGCTATTTTTCTAGGTCTTTGAGTTATACCAGCCAGGACATTCATGTGCACCGCTGTGGTGGCACAAAAAAAATGGCAGAAAAATCTACTTTCATTTGTTTTGTGAATGACTTAGAATTGTCAATCTGAATACCACCGTATTTTAAACTTGATAAATATTTTGCATTTTCCATTTCATTCCGTCTGTAAACCCAGTCCCAGGACTCTAATACATTTTCTTCCATTGTTGCTTCTAGGCATTTTTTGTTGTAATGTGCTATAATACCTAATTTTGTATTCTGACTATTTGCATCTAATATAAGCAACATCAGACATTTTATAGGCATATTTCAAATAACTAATTAGAAAATGTAATGGAATAAAAAATACCATTTGTAAGAGCCACAAAAAGAATATAAGAGCTAGGAATAAACTTGGTAAGAAATGTGAAAGATCTGTATAAAGAAAACTTGAAATACTAAGGAAAATATAAGAATGACTTGAGTATTTAGAAAGGTGAAATATTGGAAAAGAAGAACAGATTGATGGGGATGGAGGAAAATTTAGCCCTACTAAGTATGTACAAGAATAGACATTGCAGTGGAACAGGGCAGACTCAAATGTTCAATAAGAGAATTTTAGCGTATTATACTAGTAGAGGAGGTATTTCAGATCAGGTGGGATTATTCAATAAATGGTGTTGAAACAATTCAGTAGCCATATGGGGTGGAAACTTAGATTTCTACCTAACTCCTTATATCAAAGTTAATTAATTTAGAAGCCATAATTTTTTTTAAGTATGTTTTGCTACAAAATAAAGATCTGCCTGGCAACAAAATGTGAGCTGGAGGAAAATACTTATTTTCTAAATAAGTTAAAATCCCCACTAAATCATTAAGAAAAACATCATAGAAAAAAATGGGCAAAATAGGTAAACAGGATGCACAGAAAAAAGCCTTAAATCGCTCTTCACATGTTTAAACTTCACTTAGAATTAAAGAAATTAAAATCAGAATTAATGAAGTTGGTTTGTTTTCACCTGTTCCAGTGGCAGAGATTAAGGAATTAAAAAGTATACTGTGTTGACATGGGTATGAGAAACCAAGTTGACTTGAATGAAGTTTGATAATAATCTATCAGATTGTATACCTGCTATTTTATTTGTACAAATTTGTCCTAAGATAGTCACATGGTCACAAAGATGTACATACAGGCAGTGCAGTAGCATAGTAGGCAAAACATTAAATCTATTAAATGTTTTAAAACTGAGAAGCAGAGTAGAGTGTGGTACTCTTATTGTGTGTACCTGTGTACATTAGAACATCTCTGGAAGAATTTGTAAGATCTTGGAAATAGCTATTACTTTTGGGTAGGGAAGGAGAGGACCAAGGATGAAGATGAGTGACACTTATTTTCCTACATAAACTCATACTCTTAAATAATTGTTTTTAACCATGAGCCTATATTACTTATTCATTCAAAAATAATTTAGTAGCAAATATTATAAAATATTTTCTTTTTATACCTGTGTGTGACAAAACATTGTTCGGCTGCCTCCTGCATGCCCCCTACCTAGGATGGAGCCCACCACCTGGGCATGTGCCCTGACAGGGAATTGAACCAGTGCATGGGATGACACCCAACCAACTGAACCACACCAGCTAGGACTATTATAAAATACTAGAGGCCCAATGCACAAAAATTTGTGCACTCGGGGGTCCCTCAGTTCGGCCTGTGCCCTCTCACAGTCTGGGACCCTTGGGGGGATGTCCACCTGCTGGCTTAGGCCTGCTCCCCGGGGGGGCATTGGGCCTAAGCTGGCAGTCAGACATCCCTCTGGCAGCCCAGGAGCCCTCGGGGGATGTCCACTTGCCAGCGGGGTGCAGGCCTAGGCTGCAGTCAGACATCCTTAGTGCTGCTGAGGAGGCGGGAGAGCCTCCCACCACCAACGCTGTGCTGGCAGCCATCAGCCTAGCTTGTGGCTGAGCAGAGCTCCCCCTGTGGGAGCTCACTGACCACCAGGGGGCAGCTCCTGCATTGAGCGTCTGCCCCCTGGTGGTCAGTATGTGTCATACTGACCAGTCATTCCCAGTCGTTCTGCTGTTAGGGTCAGTTTGCATATTACCCTTTTATTATATAGGATAGAGGCCTGGTGCATGGGTCGGGGGTGGCTAGTTTGCCCTGAAGGGTGTCCCGGATCAGGGTGGGGGTGCCTGGCCAGCCTGGGTGAGGGGCTGATGGCTGTTTGCAGGCTGACCAAGCCCCCCAGCGGAGACCCTCAACCATTGGGGGTGTGGCCAGCCTGTGTGAGGGACTGAGGGCCGTTTTCAGGCTGCCCACAGCCCCTTCATGGTGGGGGGGGATCCCACTGGGCTGCCTGGCCAGCCTGGGTGAGGGCTGATGGCTATTTTCAGGCTGGCTGCACCCCCCAGTGACCCAAGCTCTCAGCCTCTCCTTTTTTTCTTTTTTTTCTTCTTTTCCATGGCGGCCTAGAAGCAGGTATCTGGGATTTATTTATCTTCTGTAATTGAAACTTTGTAGCCTTGAGCGGAGCCCAGGGCCTGCCAGGGCAGGCGGGAAGCTTGGCTTCCTCCATCACCGGGGGCAACCCAAGCCTCCTGCTCGTTCCAGCTCCGTGGCCATCTTAGTTGGGTTAATTTGCATACTGGCTCCTGATTGGCTGCTGGGCATAGCTTGTGGGTATAGCAGAGTGATGGTTAATTTGCATCTTTCTCTTTTATTAGTGTAGATTCTTAAAATAATGTAACCACTATTTGTCTTTTAAAAATATACTCCTCTAGACTCTCTAATGTTAAAGTACTTGATTCATATCTCATCATAGAATATAGTATACTTCATTTAGCCAACCTTCAAATCATATATGATTAGACCAAAATGTTACTATTTTCTTAGCTATCTGAATAAATCCTTTGGTTTCCATAATATTTTATTTATTTTCTAGGTTTGCTACATTCTGTGCAGTTCCATTAAGTTCTATATTTGTGTGACATATTTTTAAAATATTTTTACTGATTTCAGAGAGGAAGGGAGAGAGAGATAGAAACATCAATGATGAAGAGACCCATTGATTGACTGCCTCCTGTACGCCCCACACTGGAGATCAAGCCCACAACCCTGGCATATGGCCCAACCGGGAATCAAACCGTGACCACCTGGCCCATAGGTCAACATTTAGTTACTGAGCCATGCCAGCTGGCCTAACTTATCCTATATAATACAGAGCTAATATGCAAATGGTTGTCATGCCCTCATATCATCATGCCGTAACTGCTCAGACACTCAACACTGGGGAGAGAGAATTGGGGATCAGCCAGGCACAAATGAGCTCGCAAGAGAGGAATGGGGACCATCCACGTTGTGGCCCAGGACAGGGACAAGCCGCCTGCCCCACGGCCCCAGGCGCCAGCAGCTGGGGCTGTGGCCTGGGAGAGGGACAAGCCACATGCCCCACAGTCCCCATGGTCCCGGGCGCCAGCAGCTGTGGCGCAGGTGAAGCCGCCCGCTCACGGTCCCCTGCGTCTGTGGCCAGCCAGAAGGAGGGAAGCCTGACCCAGGTGTCTGCAACCAGCCGGAGGAGGGAATCCTGGGTACAGGGCAAGGCAGAGGCAGTTAGGGATGATCAGGCCAGCAGGGGAGCAGTTAGGGGCAATCAGGCATATAGGCAGAGGTGGTTAGGGGCGATCAGGCAGGCAGGCAAGTGGTTAGGAGCCAGCGGTCCCAGATTGCGAGAGGCAGTCGGACATCTCCCCAAGGGGTCCTGGATTGAAGAAGGTGCAGGTCGGGCTGAGGGACTCCCCCCCCCCCCCATGCACACATTTCGTGCACCGGACCTCTAGTTTTTTATAATAGCTTTATAGAGATAATTCACATATCATACAGTTCACCTATTTAAAGTGTAGTCATATTTGTGCAACCATTGCCACAGTTAATTTTAGAATATTTTTATAACCCCCAAAAAGAAACCCTGAACCCTTTTACAGTCACGTCCTATTTTCTCCCAACTCCCCAGCTCTAGGCAATCACTAGTCTACTTTTTTCCTATGAAATTGCCCATTCTGGACCTTTCATATAAATGGAATCAAACAATATGTGGTATTTTATGACTAGCTTCTTTTACTTACCATAATGTTTTCAAGTTTTATGTTATATATTATGCGTCAATACTTTATTCCTTTTTATGTCTCAGTAATATTCCATTATATGGATATATTCCACATTTTGTCAGTTGATGGACATTTGGGTTGTTGGAACTTTGGAGCTATTATGGATAACGCTGCTATGAACATTTGTGTACAAGTTTTGGTGTGAACATGTTTTCATTTCTTTTGAGTATATACCTAGGAGTGGAATTGCTGGATCATATGGTAATTCCATGTTCAATTTGAGAAACTGCTCGAATGTTTTCCAAAGTTTCTCCACCATTTTACGTTCCCACAGCAGTGTTTGAGGGTTCTAATTTCTACACACGCTTGTTAACCTTGTTATCTATCTTTTTTTTTAATGGCTGTCCTAGCAGGTATGAAGTGGTGTCTCATTTTAGTTTTGATTTACATTTCCCTGGTGGCTAAGGATATTAGAGCATCTTTTCATATGCTTATTGGTACATGACATATTCTTATATTTAATACAACCTTGTTTGTCTTTCCTAAAAATTATAAATATGTACTATAGATGCATTTCTCATTAATTGTTTTGTGTTCAGTGTGTGTTCATGTCTAGATTCACCACCTAGATACTAATTTGAGGAGCCTTGTCAAATTGGACATTTTAGCCACTATGACAGATGTGACCTAATGGAGCCTTATTAAGTCACAATGTAATATAGTGTTTTTTCTGATACTCTCTTTTAAAAGTCCCTGTATTATTTTTGTTGCAGTATTTCACTGGCCTTGAATGTGGACATAAGTTTTGTATGCAGTGCTGGAGTGAATATTTAACCACTAAGATAATGGAAGAAGGCATGGGACAGGTAAAGATGCCATTTTATTTTTTGTTGAATTTCCTACAGGTTTAAATGCTTGTACAAATATAAACAGGTGAAGAATTCTGCATTAAGAATTGCATGAGAACTTTTTCTAGGTTAAAACAACAAAAAGATAATTGAGGTTTTCTTTCTGTTTACAATGTGTCATTCGAGTTAAAGATCCAATCCAGTAATGTTTTCTCAGTGGGCATTAACATTTATGTATGTTTAAACAATTTTGTCTGACCTCTTGCTTTTGCTTTTCAACTTTTATATTGAAAAACCAATTCAGGTCAGTAATTCTAGTTACCTTATAGCATGCACGTCAAACTCAAAGGCTAACATGGGCCAAATAAACAAGGTTTAAGTTTATGTGGGCTGCAAAAAAACAAAAGCTTCAATTTTCATAGAAACATAGATTTATTTCTATAGAGACATGCTGAATACAAAGGCTGAAATAAACGAGTAATTGTTAACATAAATAGAACATTTTAATAAAAATTAATATATTTTTCTTGAACATTAACTTCCCAGACCCTGAATAACTATACAAATTAATAAGCATATGCAAATAAACCTATTGTTCTTGTTCTCCGAAAGCGGAATGTTTCCTGTTGCACACACCAAACAAGTTAATTTTTACTAATGACCCAGTGCGCGAAATGTGCGAGACCCAGGACCCCAGACCCCACTGCGCCATGAGACTAATGACATGGCAATCAGCCGCTAAAATATTCGCTGCTAGTATTAGTGGAGAGAAATGGTGCACCTGCGCATAAGGTGTGTAAGCGAAATGAATGCAACACGATTATAGTAATTAGTCATTAGTGAGCGTTGTAGCTCGTTATTAATAATTATGTATAACAGGATATTGTAAACATTAAGTTACTAAATTTTTTATTAAAAGGTTTCTTACATACTGTTACATTGGCTGAGCCACAAAAATATTCCTTGTGGGCCACATGGGCCGTGAGTTTGACATGCTTGCCTTATAATGATAAACACAATCATATAAATGCATTTCCTTTAATGGAAAGGGAATAATTAATAGCCTATAAATGTTGAGGTATCCAGTATCCTTAGAACCTAGCAGAATGCCTTGCAATTATAAGCATTCAATCAATGTTGAATGAAGACAGTTTAAATTTCAATCTTTTTCAGACAATTTCGTGTCCTGCTCATGGTTGTGATATATTAGTGGATGACAACACAGTTATGTAAGTATTTTTGGTAGATTCTGCATTTTAAATACTAATTAGTTGATTCAACCAAGTTAATTTTTGTTGAGCACCTTAAGGGAGCTGGAATTTTTTTTGTTGTTGTCTTTTTATTATTATTATTATTATTATTATTATTATTGTTTTATTGCTTAAAGCAGGGGTCCTCAAACTTTTTAAACAGGGGGCCAGTTCACTGTCCCTCAGACCGTTGGAAGGCCGGACTATAGTTTAAAAAAAAACTATGAACAAATTCCTATGCACACTGCACATATCTTATTTTGAAGTAAAAAAAACAAAACGGGAAAAACAATATTTGTATTTGCATGTGGCCCGCGGGCTGTAGTTTGAGGACCCCCGGCTTAAAGTATTACGAAGAGTATTACATAGGTCTCCTTTTTCCCCCCCCGCCCTTGAGAATCCCCTGGCCTCCCCTTATGGGAGCCGGAATTTTGAAAGTCTGAAGAGATTTTCTAATCTACATTCCTTTGTAGTAGTACAAAGGCCCATTTTAAACTTAGTTTAATGCCCACTCACTATTCTGGTAAACTTTGTAATGCATGATAGTTAGATCTCAGTAAACCTTGTAATTTGAAATAAGAAATGTCATTGTTTCAGTTGAGTGAGTTCCTTTGGAAAGCAGATGCCACGGTAGAGTTAAAAGACAGAGATTTACTGTGGGATTGCATCTGTGCAGGATAAAGTGGAGAACGAATAGGAATAGATAGACCTTTATGCTGGTCTGACCTATTAAAGGAGAAAGAGAAGGAAGGGGGCATTCAGTAGGAAGAAATTCAGATTATGATGCAGCTGTGAGTCTTCTGAAGCCCCGCGAGGCGCTTCATTTCATAGGTTGAACACAGAGTAATGCCTCAATAAGCAAAAATGGTCAGGCCCTGATACCCTTACTATGTTCAGTCATTATCTGGGTGCTACCCAGTGGGAATGTGGCCTCAGCTGGAATATTGCTACAGATACCAAGAGCACTGCAGCTGGAGGTTGTGGCTAACTACTCTTCTTGTAAAAGGGAGAAAGAAACTTGAAGAAATAGTTCCTAACCCTGGGGTAAAGTCCCAATCAAGTTGGTTAATTCCTGAGTCAGTGTTGTTTGGGCTGTGGGATGTAGTTAAGAAAGTTATTGTTTTATAAAATTTTACTAGTGACCCAGTGCGCGAAATGTGCGAGACCCAGACCCGCGGGAGATAGCGCAAGACCCAGCACCCCAGACCCTACTGCACCATGAGTCAAGTCCCCGCCTACCCGCGCACGCAGCCCCACCCACCCACACATGCCTTGCTGCACATGCAGCCTCCTGGTGACCGGTCTTGGTTGTTATGGCAGTAGGGCCACTGGGTTTTATAATATAGATTTGGGAGGGGGACTAGATGGGAAATGGAGAAAATATATTTCCAACACCTAAAATGAATATGGCTAATATCATAAGGGCTTTTTACAAATCAGTAAGAAAATTCTATGGAGAGAACATGAAAAAGAAGTTCACAATGAAAGAAATTTAAATGGTTGCATAGTGAAAGAAATGGAAATGGTTATGAACAATAGCTAACATGCTTACTTACATAAATGTAAATCAAAATTGGAGTAAACTTTTTTTTTTTTTTAATCCTTACCTGTGGGTACTTTTTCCATTGATTTTTAGAGAGTGGAGGTGGGGGGCAACAAGGGAGAGAGGAAACATCAATGTGAGGGAGACACATTAACTCCTGCATGTTCCCTGACTGGAGGTGGGGATTGATCCCATGACACTTCATTGTGCACACTAATGCTCTAACCACTGAGGATACCAGCCAAGGCAGATAAAATAACTTTTTTGTTGTTAATCCTCACCTGAGGATATTTCTCCATTGATCTTTTAGAGAGAGGGAAAGACAGAGAGAGAAAAGAAACATGGATGTGAGAGAAACACATCAATTGGTTGCCTCGTGCACCTGCCTCACCCAGGGCCTGGGCGGGTGGAGGAGCCTGCAATTAACGTATGTGCCCTTGACCGTAATCGAACTGGAACCCTTTGATCTGCAGGCCAACACTTTATCCACTGAGCCAAACTAGCTAGGGCAAAATAACTTTTTTTTAAAGTTCTTTTTACATTTCATATTGGTAAGGAGGAAAGATTTGGTAACGTGAGTGAGAATATAGTACAATAAGAGTATAAACCCTTGCAAACACTTTTTAATGCAGTTTGGCAATTTCTATAAATGTATATGTGTAGAAATATACATTTCTTCCTCTCTGAAATAAAATTTTAAAAAGACAAAAAAGGAAAACTCTAAACAATGGAAGTAAGAAGGCAGCAATCTTATCTAATAAAAGAGAAACATGCAAATTGACCATACTTCTGCTACACTCACAAGCCACGCCCACAAACCAATCAGGATGCAAATAAACCCAACCAAGATGGCGGCAGCCACAGAGCTGGAGCGAACAGGAGGCTTGGGTTGCCCCTGGTGATGGAGGAAGCCAAGCTTCCCACCTGGCCTGCCCTGATTGGCTGTGGGCTCCGCTCAAGGCTACAAAGTTTCAATTATAGAAGATAAATAAATCCCAGATATCTGCTTCCAGCCACTGTGGCCTCTGCTCAAGGAGGGTCTGGGAGCCTGGGTTGCCAGGGGCAGTGGCCACCTACAAACAGCCATCAACCCCTTACCCAGGCTGGCCAGGCACCCCAGCGGGGACCCCCACTCTGAAGGGGGTGTAGCCAGCCTGCAGACAGCCCTCAGCCCCTCACTCCAGGCTGGCCAGACCCTCATGGGGTGAGGGTCCCCACTGGGGGGCTTGGCCAGCCTGCAAACAGCCCTCAGCCCCTCACCCAGTCTGGCCACACACCCCCAGCGGGGACCCTCACCCCATGGGGGCATATCCAGTCTGCAAACCACCACAGGCCCCTCGCCCAGGCCACCCCACGTCCCAAGGGAATCCCCACCCTGATCCGGGACATCCTTCAAGGCAAACCAGCCGGCCCCCACCCGTGCACCAGGCCTCTATACTAATAAGAGGGTAATATGCTAATTAGACTGGGAGACCTTCCGGATGTTGTTCTGGACTAAGCCATGGTGGCGGGGCCGAGGTAGAGGTGGTTAGAGGCCAAAAGGGGTGGGAAGTTGTGGGTGATCAGGCTGGTGGGGGGCGGGGCCATTGGGGGTAAGCAGACCAGCAGGGGGGCCTGTTGGGGGCAAGCAGGCCATCAGTGGGGGTCAGTTGGAGGTGCTCAGGACAGCGGGGGGGCAGTTTGGAGTGAGCAGGTCAGCAGGGGGGTAGTTGGGGGTGAGCAGGCCAGTGGGGAGGGAAAGTGAGGGTGAGCAGGCCAGCAGGGGGGGCAATTGGGGTGATCAGACTGGCAGGGGAGGGCATTTGGGGGCAAGCAGGCCGGCGGTGGGGGGGCAGTTGGGGGCAAGCAGGCCGGCAGGCAGAGTGGTTAGGGGCAATCAGGCAGGTAGGTGAGTGGTTAGGAGCCAGCCATCCCAGATTGCAAGAGGGACGTCCGACTGCCGGTTTAGGCCCGATCCCTGTAAACCAGCAGTAGGACATCCTTCGAGGGGTCCCAGATTGGAGAGGGTGCAGGCCGGGCTGAGGAACACCTCCCCCACCCCCCCACCCCCCCCGCACGAATTTCGTGCACTGGACCACTAGTCCTATCTAATAAAAGAGAAACATGGTAATTAGTGTACGACCGCTACCCTTCCCATTGGCTAATCAGGGCAATATGCAAATTAACTGCCAACCAAGATGGCGGCCGGCAGCCAGGCAGCTTCAAGTGAATGTGAGGCTTGCTTGCTTCAGTGACAGAGGACTCCAGTGTTCCCTGCCTGCCGCTGCAGGCCTCTGAGCTGCAACTCTAAGAACTATGTTACAAATATAGAAGCTAAACAAAACCCCAGAAACCTGCTTTAGTTCATCAGGCTTCAGCCGGCAGGATCGAAACATTGTTTCAAATACAGAAGGTAAACAAAGGCCAGAAACCTGCTTTCAGCAGCAGAGGCCTAAGAGCTGGAGCCAAGCCTCAAAGCTAAAGCTGGCCCAGAATGAAAAAAAAGAAAAAAAGGAGCGGTTGGGAGCTTCAGTCACTCGCAAGCCTGAAAACAGCCCTCAGCCCCTCACCCTGACTGGCCAGGCACCCCAGTGGGGACCCCCACCCTGAAGACTGTGTGACCAGCTACAAACAGCCATCATCCCCTCACCCAGGCTGGCCAGGCACCCCAGTGGGGACCCCTACCCTGATCCAGGACACCCTTCAGGGCAAACCAGCTGGCCCCAACCTGTGCACCAGACCTCTATCCTATATAGTAAAACGGTAATATGCCTCCCAGCACCAGGATCAGCAGAGCCCCAAGGCCTCCCGGCACCGGGATCAGTGTGACGGGGGCAGCGCCCAAACCCCCTGATCGCCCTGCGGCTCTGTTCGTGACGGGAAGGCGCCCCAACCCCCTGATCAGCCCTGCTCTGTGCCTGATAGGGGGAGCTCCCCAACCCCATGATCGCCCTGTGGCTCTGTGTGTGACAGGGTGCGGCACCCCAACCCCCTGATCGGCCCTGCTCTGTGTGTGATGGGGCAGCGCCCTGCTCTGTGTGTGACGGGGTAGAGCCATAACCTCCCCATCGGCCCTGCCCTGAGTGTGAGAGTGGCGGCGCCCCAACCCCCTGATCGGCCCTGCTCTGTGGGTGATAGAAGGCAGCGCCCCAACCTCCCCCCCACCCCCCACGGGCCCTGCTCTGTGTGTGATGGGGTAGAGCCATAACCTCCCCATCGGCCCTGCCCTGAGTGTGACAGTGGCGGCGCCCCAACCCCCTGATCCGCCCTGCTCTGTGGGTGATAGAGGGCGGCGCCCCAACCCCCTGATCCACCCTGCTCTGTGCGTGACAAGGTATGGAGCCTCAACCCCCCTGATGGGCCCTGCTCTGCGCGTGGCAGGGGGCAGCGCCCCAACCTCCTGAGTGGCCCTGCTCTGTGCGTGACAGGGGTGGCGCCACAACCTCCCCATCGACCC